TGGTACAAATGATAACACAGGGCACACGTTCAGGTTGAGTTCTTTGTTTTTTTCACTTAAGTCTGGGCGAATACAGGGCCAACAAAAAGAAACCAGATCTGCAAGCATCAGCGCTCGCCTCATCCACAGACAAGACGACGGACTAACAGCTTCCCACACTCCACTGCGTCAATGTGTCATGACCTTTCTCCCAAGGGGACACCTTTTGGGTGACAGCACTTCAGTCTCCGTGGTCTTTCAGTCATACATCTGCCTGCCTTCATGTGGAAGCTGGCTCCAGGCTTGCCAAACACTGCCAGAGTGGTGATTTAGGAATTGGACTGATACCGCCAAATCGCTCTGCGTAGATCACTTGCTGAGGGCAGCCACCAGGTAGTTAGCGGTGAGCTCTCAGTCGCTGTTCATCTGGGCCAGGCATGAAATAGTGTTCTAAGGAAAAGCAGCTCTGTACTTCATTTCCAGTTCCTGAACCACCAAGTCACTGGGCAAACAGATTTTATATTGCTGATTGGGCACTATACTATCCATGCTTACTAATCAGAACATCCTCATTGTGAGGACATTTTCTAGGCACTGAACTAAATACTTCTGCTGTATTGTGTTTTATAACAGTGAGCAGCATCATACTGTAGGAAAGTCTTATCAAGAAAGCTCTGGAAATCGGTATATTTAAACATAATAAATACAATAGCAGGGCCTAACTTTTATGATTGTGGGCAACTATATGCATATGACTTCATTAGTAGTAGTATCCACGTGAGTAAAGATATACAAATAAGTATTCCTAGATTTGGGTTACTAAAGGAAGGCTAAGAACATTTCTTTTATCTATTATAGTTCCAATCAAGTAAAACGGTATCACTAATATAAACAAAATAATCTGATATCCAGATGGTAAAATGGCTGGTCTTGTAACTCGGCAGAGTACTGTTTTCTCATGCCTATTTTTGATGCCTGTAACTATTTCATCTCTTAGGTCCGTGTGGAACTTGCCTGTAGCTCTAAGGACAGCTGAAGTCAACATGACTAAAAATGCGAAACTGCAGAATACTATAGTAAGTTTATACTGGAATACTTCCTCATCCAGTTCTGGGTAAAGATAAGGAGAAGCCTTTTGAAACAAAGTAAGCTGCTGCTCATGAGTGACTGCTCGGATCAGCGTTCCAACTGTAAGAAATGTGGTAAGTGCTGAGGCCCCAAATTTAGCTGTGCACATTTTTGATTTATTTGGACCTTCACAAGAGAAAGGCAGCTATTTTTCCATATGGTAATGTTTAATCTTATTAGTTAACCAGCTAGGCTATTAATAATAACAAAGTAAAAAGATTAGAAGTAAGCTTTTTGCTGCAAGTTAGGAAGTAAAGATAAAACTGTGAAATTCGAAGATTTTTGAACACTCCCATCAAATCATGAACTAGGTGTAAAAGCCAGTGAACAGAATCCATTAAAGTTGCATTTATTAAATGTCCACTTATATAAAAAGCTAAAAATAGTGTTTGAGTTTTTCCAATTTTCTTTTCATAACAGTTACTATGATTTTCTGCTTCATCTTGGAAAGTCACTTTGCTGCTGCTGTAGTGTATAATCTGTGTGCCCTTTCTTAGTGCAGTACAAATGACAGAACACTAATCAGAACAACAATCACGTCATCTTTGAGTAACTAGCAATAAACTGTTTTTACAAGGAACTATTTTTAGGGTAACTCTGAAGAGAAAACCAGAAAATTATTATACTCAATCTTCCTCTACATCATTGCTATGAATTTCAAAAGCATTGCTTTTTCCTGGACAGCAGGCTAATCCATGCAATAATTTTTTGCATAAATGGTCTAGTCAAATAGGGTTTTTAGGGTTTTGTTAAAAGTTTTGACTTGAAGTATATAAAATCACTTTTTCCCTGCCCTGTCTGGTGACTCTGAACCATAGGCTGATTCCTAAGTAACCTAAATGCCTGTTTTTGGTGATTATCCTATGTTTTCAGCATGTCTCACATCTAGTTGCCTGTGTTATTTTACTATTGCTGGCAAGTATTCAGCCAAACCCTCCTTTTGGAGCCCAGGTATACGACTACCGTAACTTTTTTCAGATCAACAGGCCCTACAGTGCAATGCAGGTGAAGTATGGTAATAATGGTACAGGGCTAGCAGGGAGAAAATGTGTAGGTGTCTCTGGAGATGGCTGTGCCCACACTATATAGTCTGCATAAGTCCTTTTCCTGAGCTTCTCCCTTCCCAATCGATATGGTCTCTCTTCAGTGCCTCACTAAAGCCCGTTCTCCTGCCGTGTAGAATAATCAACTCCCGGAAGCAGCGGGAGGTGGCAATGCCGCACATTCTCCCCACCCGGCCAACTCTACCTGTGCCTGTGCCCTGCACAACAGCCTTCCTTCCACGCTCACTGAAAATGTGCGTAGGGGAAAATGTGCTGCTTCTCCTTGTCCTGGGAAAGATCAGTGTGCAGCTGTTGAGAAAGACTATCTTCAGCTATTCAGTAGTGTGGGAGGGCTTACATGAGGATGTCCTGGGAATCTATGGATCTGAGACCCACTCCTTACACACACACTGCAGTTTTGAACACTTTGGGGGGCATCTGAAGTAAATTTCATTAAATGACCCATTTAAACCTCTTTTGCCTGTGGCCCAGCAAGCTACTTGTCACTAACAGTTTACCTTCTTTCACCTAAGAAATGTAAAAAAAAAAATACCATACAGTCAAAATGTAGTTGTCAGATTTTATTTTAGTTCTGTTAACAAGTATATTTAATGCAAAGGCAAACTAGGAACTATATAATTACCATACTCTCTCTTGATATAGAAAACAGCAGAAGATCTTATAGTTAGGTACCGGAGAAAGTGAAATTATTTTTTATGTCCTGAAAAGACATTTTACTTCAGGCAGGAAAAACTAAAAAACCAAACCTATCTAGATATTTAATAAGCCAAGAGACTAAAGAAGAATAGCAGGACTTCTGGTCCCGCAGACTTATCTTTCTGCTTCTGATCTTTGATTGTGGCTAAGAGGCGCTCATCCGAAATGATGAAACGTGAGGGACAGTTTCAAGCCTCACCTACATTCCTCTTACCCTGGGTCAGCTGTGGGTCTCATGATGCAATTTTAAGGGCAGTGATAGTTGCCTTTGGCTCACAGGTCAAAGCCAGAGTACAAGGCAGCCTTGCCTATCTACCTGTTTCGCATACCCTGACATATGCGAGAGCCACTGTGCCATAATGACATCCATCAATAACCCTCCATTCCTGGGATGACCCTCTTCGGGTACTGTAATCACTTTGGAACTACGCTGCACACACAAAACAGCACAAAGTGTCCTCAGTGGAGAAAGCCTTTAGTCGACCACCGTTTACACTTCCACATGGGCAACTCAGAAAAAAATAGAAGAAGAAAAAATACATTTGTAAAAAAAAAAATACCAACAAAAGATAATGGAAAAAGCTCAGAATCCAAGTAATTGTTCTCAGAACCTACTCCTGACGCTGTAGCGATGAACTGTCTCCTGGAAGCACAATCAGTTTAATTCAACCGTGCAAGGAAAGTATGACTAGGAGTGTGCCGGCAAGGTTTGTGCAGCTCAGAGCGAAAATGGCTCCATTCTTGCCAGTCATGCTAGATGAATAAAGACAATAGGGAAGGAGAGGGCCAAGCCAGGAGGACCACAATTATACAATATCAAGTCCCAGGCCTTGCAAAAATGTAACCTTAGTGATACAGAATAAGGAGCAGAGCAATTACGTAAGTTTTCTGTGACCCTAGAGAAGGATTTCTTTTCCTTTGATCTCTCTGCAGATGCATGCCATTCCCAGCCTCATAAACCAAAGATTTACGATGAGGTTCACCCTAGTGCAGCTCTCATAACCGATCTTCCTAACCATGTTATGTTGTCACTTCAACAATGGAGGAAAAGCTTTGTAGAGTGGTTAGTTGCTCTCTTTGTTTATCCACCAAAACTAAATAATGTACCACACATTTATGTAGAAATGATGAAAGCAACAGTATTTAGTAAGAGGTTACCTTTAGGAAGCCTGCACACTGTCTTCCTACTTTATGTTGGTATCAAGAAGGAAGAATTCATAATACAAGCCTATCTTTACCTCCTTCCTGAATGACTTGACCAATGGCTATTTGGTTTTGTTGTTTCAGAAAACATTCTCTCTTACATTCCATTAACTGCTCAAAGTCCTGCCACATTTTAATTTGCTTCATATTTGGCCCGTGACTTTCCCGTACAACTTTCTGCTTCTCTCGTAATTTCTGTTAAAAATACAAAAATATTAGATTTTTGGAACAGTTCTATACCACAAAAATTGCTTACATAGGCAGCTTGGAATGATGAAGATTTTAGATGCTACTGAGATATTATTTTGTTCAAGTTGATAACACTCCTTTCAAGTGATAAATGCATTAACACCTGGGACTCAGATATCTGCTTTGTACAGACTGACAATTATTTCAATTTTTTAAAAGTGTCTAAGTAATAGTCTTATCTCTTTAAGCAGTTATGCTAAAATTCTCAGTTCATTTCCGTACAGAGCTCTTGCAGTATCAAGATGCAAGCTGCAATGGATTCATATCATGATATTACAAACATGAAATTAATGTTTTACAATGAAACCAGCTACTGATTATTAATAGTGGCAGCCCAAACCTGTAGAAATCACTCACAGACTCACTCATAAAAAGGAAATTAATAAAAGAAAGACGTTTAGTGTGAATTGGTAAGCCTAACCTCGTCCATGCTGATCTGAGCTTCATACAAAATTAAAAATGGACAACTGCTTTTGTTTAACACCGCTGCACTGATGATCCCCTGGCCTTTAATAACAGTGATACGGCTGACAGGCTCAAAATTTATTGTCTTCAACAGGTTGCTTTATATACAACATAAAATTTGAGCTGGCACAGTTTGTTATGCCCATGTTTCAGTGTCTTATCCAAATGGTTTTCAGGGAATGTGCTGTCACGTTAAGCTGTTTGACTATCCTTTACAAGCAGCTCATGCTATACTCTGCAGGAAATCAAGCCCTGAAGAGCGAGCATGATCTCTTTTCAGGGTATTAGTTACCAATGCCAGCAGTAATGGAATTTTCTTTGTAGGCTGCAATATGCTTTTTATAAAAGACTGACCACAGCCTTTGGTAATAAGCCCCACAAAAATATGAACTGTACAATGTTTTTACAAGGTGAAAACCTCATTCTTACCTTCCCAAGGTTTTCTTGTTCAAGGATCATTCGTGTATACTGTTCTCTAAAGGAAATATAAAATAATTTAATTGTGACTTTATTTGGTTCTATGTAATAGGACAGAATAATGATGGAAACACAGAAAATTATGAAAGTGTTGGGAGGTTCATAAATGAGATAGAAGAGGAAGCATGACGAAACCTTTTTGTCATTGGACAACATATCCCTTGACATCAAGGATCAGGTCTCTCTGATCCTCTCCATTGTGCAGTTGGGAAAAGTGATACTGGCTAAGTTCTCTTACATTTTAGAAGCAGGCATGATTACTGCTCCTTCCAGCTTGAAGACAACAGCAATATCATTTAAGATAAGACATACTTGATCCCTTTTTAATAATGCATTTATCCTGGTGATATTCTGAGGTTAGCCAGTGGCCTCATTTGTACAAGCATCAGAGTTTACAAATCCACAGCCCTTAATTGCTGTGAATGTAGTGTTAGAGTGAGTGGGGAAAATACAGGAATGAAGGGGAATAGTATTTCACCCCAGGTTTGACACATCCAATGACTGCAATGGAACCGCTGTGTGTTCCTCACTTTCAGAAAACAGTCGTCACATTTAGGTGCCTAAATATAGGCTTAGAAGCATAACTGTTGACATTCATTATTAAAAATCTTGGCTGTACACCTTTGTCTGTAACAAGTGGCTGGATCACTTTCTGACATATGCAAACTTGATACATGAAACCTGACAATATAATATGCAAAGCATAACAGCAGGATTCAGATACATTACTATGTACTTTTTTAAATTTTTCTGAAATGTGACAAAAAAAAAAAAAACCAAAAACTTTTCACTGATTCACTTCGGAAAAAAAAATTATTATATTTCGTCTGTAACAGGTACACTTAGAGGTTGAGAGTTTGCTAGTGGAATACAAAATAACCCGGCTTATCTAAAGAACTTTTCCAAATTGCTCAGGGTAGAAGAACATTGCACAGAGAAATCCTGATTTCCAGAAAGGAATATCAGCCTTCATGATACCAGAGTGTGAAGGTTTGCAAGAGTGTGGTGAGCAGCCGTGTAGAACCAAGGCATTGCGTTTCTTATATTCCTTCCATTTCTACTAAGTACTCCAGGCTTTCCACTGGAGCGCTTGGGCCCCTGGCCACCTGGTCCTGCTTGCCATACTCCCTGCAGAATGGACGTGCAGAGAGTGAAGCTGGATCATTTGACGATCTCTCACTCTTGGACAATTCCAGCCAGAACAAATCAGAGCCGTCTTGAGGCTGCTCCAAGTGCTGTGCTGCACAGCTGATCCCTAGCAATCCTCACCAAATCAAAGAGATGGAAAGCCACACAATCTTCTTATTTCCACTGACACACAGCATATGTTCACACACATTTGGCTTCAAGAACATACTTTTTTTTTTTTTTAAAGTAGAATTTTCGAAGTAATCATCAGAAGATAAGATGTCTTTCCTAGTAAGTTTTTCTTTACTATTTATAATGATGACTGGAAAGAATGCAACTTAATAACTTCAGTAAAAAACCCACAACTTTCTATTTTTAGAGAAGAAAATTAACTTTTCACATTCCTAAGAAGTGACTCCACGGAACAGAGAGTTTATGTTCAATAAAGAGGGACGGAATTAAGACATTTTTTGTTCAATACGTTGTTACGACGTAGTTAGTGCTGTTCTATTTATGGTTCATTTTTACTCCGTTTACATTCCAACGCCTGCTGAAAAATACATTCACATTCTAAAAGGATGTCTGGAAAAAAATTTTATCGTCTCATTTTATGTTTTGCAAAGATCTCTATATTCTACTTTGTTGTAATTCATTTAAATGCGATGGGTCTGCGACCTCTTACAGAAGGTCACAAATGTGTATAGTCACTGCGAGAGGGATAATTTCCCTAGCTTCTGTGCCCACAGTGAGCAAGTGAAACAGGGACAGCCGAGAGAGTGGTAATGCTCCGTTCACATTCTCCTCACCATACCTGGAATGACATAGCTGGGCTCACGCTTGATTCCAGCATTTGGCTTTGATGGCTTCTCTGTGTGAATACTCACATTGTGGATGTTCATTTCACAAGTATTTCGGCTGGAGCATTTTTTGCTTAGCATCTGTGAATAAACTCAGACCCTCCCCTTCCCTGCGAGGCCATAAAAGGACGGTGCCTGCTGTTTGACCCGCATTTCCTCTCAGCTGCTTGGCTGAGCTGTCTTGCCTTTCATACTAATGAATATTCACATCATCGCTAAGATTTTTCTCACAGCCACTCTCTTTTCATCCTTCTGCTTACTTTTGCTGTCTCATCGTCTTTCATTAGACAAATCTTTTATTTCCTACAGCCTTCCATTATTCTGTGAGATGGAATAGGAGGCTTCTTAGCCTCCACTCACATTCTATCTCCTCGTCCTTTTCTTCTCCAACCCTAACATTAGTAGTTTTGATTCTTTTCTTACTCTTATTTTTCCTACATTGTTTGCTACATAGTGTTTAAACATTTTCTTGTCTCAGATCCTCACAGAAGGTCTCTGTGATGGATATTAATCTGGCCCTTCATTTCCTACTGACCTCTACCTCATGTTCGAGAGCCGCAGGAGATGCAGCTCCACTGGTACCAGTGCAAGGTGCATCGCGACAACTTGTAGTCCATGAAGGATCTGATGGAGGAAGAAGACCTCATCTCTCAGCGTCTCCTGAGGAAACCCCTGGAGTTTTCTCACTCAGTTTGACACGTCGCCATCCCTGTCAATGGCCCCATTCCAGACCCCATAAAAACTTAGTGGTCAACTACTGCCGTTTTTCACAATGAGTGAAGAAATTGCCTCTGGTGATACTGAATGACATTTGATTACGTATACTGCCAACTAAGAGTGCTTTCCTCGTTGCCACCACTGCAACAGAAAGGTCCAGAAATTATTCTGAAAGGTAAAAAGTCCTAACAGGACAGGTATCTTGGGAAATTAATTTATTCTTCCACCTCCTTTGAGAAGTGACAGACAACTACTGATTCTCTTTTCCCGTTGTGATGTCAGCACGTTGGATGGTCTGAAGCTTTCAAATGGAATGTAGAATGATTATTAATTATCTAATTAAGCAGTTCTATCTTTGCTTTGCCACTCAGTCATGTTTTTAAATGGTTTTGTGAATGGGACAATTCTGTGAAGCATTTTGGCACATCGTACAGAAGACTGTACATGAACCACAGCTCTGACATGACAGATTACACAGATCTCAAGCAACAATCTGTCCTGTCTCTGAAATACAAATGCAGAAATCTAAGAAAAGGCCTCACATCAAGGAACTATGTTGCTGTGGCTTTTTAAAGCCTAAGCAATAAAGCAAACTGTAGGAATGCTGATTGATGCAGATGGTTGAGATGGAGAGGTACACGGCAGAGCTGATGCCCCCTCTGCTCTGCACTAAAAATTATATACTCTATGGAGATTGCTTGGTACAGTAATGCCTACGCCCTTAAGGAGACCCAATCCTACTTTCAAAACATCAGAGTGTTTTTCACTCATTCCATTCATTAAAAAATTAAACAAAAAGACCCTTGATCAAACCCAGTAAACATGAATTTTGAAACTACTGTTTTGATAAATATTTTCATGACTGAGAAATACTATGGTGTGAAAGCCAAAGACCACTTTGTAAAACTAGCGACAACAATTTAAGCTTATTTATTTTGTTGACAGCTAGGATCTAAGAAAATTTTTTTGGGTCAAAGATAAAACTAGCTGGAAAACAGAATTTCTATTTCATGCAAAATTCTGGAATTTTGAAAAAGTAATTATGAAGAATAAAAAACAGAATAAAATTTTGACACTTTTACCAGATGAAAGTTATAAATAAAAAAGTTTTGTTTTGGATTTTCTTGATGTTTAATTTTGATGGGGCTGAACCAGCTTGTTGACTTTATTGCCTGAATTTTGTTTCAACTTTTATATTGTATTAAAAGGTTGAACATATACCAAATTCTAAACTGGATACTTTTACAAAAATATTTAGTACGCAGTAAAGTGAAAAAAAATCCATATGACATGGTAACGTTTAGGCTTCTTAGCACAGATAATTAATCTAATCTAAAATATCTCATTCTCAGAAAACATTTCAATCTTTGGCAGGACTGCATCATTTAAAATGGAAAATCACACACACATACACAAAATCATCAGCTCAATTCATAACCTTTTCTGCTTCTCTCCCTACCAGGCAAAGGCAAGGCATCCTGAAAAAACTCACAGGATGAAGCAACTGTCTTTATATCGGAGTAAATTAAATTGAGTGTAAAGATGAAGGTTAGTGTGATGGTGCAGAACAGTATTCGTTCTACCTCCAGTAAGAACTGCAAATAGGAGCAAAACAAAATCCATTTAGGATGAGTATATGCAGTCCTCCATTCCTGTACCAGTGATGGAGACAGCTATTACACCTGAAAGAAGAGTAGAAGATTTGCAAGAACTGGCCAGAATCTGAGGGCAGCATATGGTTGCTCTCTGAGAGGTGGTAGACCTACTCCTGCACACTGGAGTCTCAGGGGAAAACCTGGCAGAGGCGTTCTGTCTGGTAGAGCCACACTTCCCGCAGGACCTAGCTGAAGCACAGCTTCTCTGAGCTTGTGCCAACAGGGGCTGCAAGTTAAAACCACTATCTGGGCCTATAATCTCCAGCGGGAAGGGAAAATCTTTTGGTATGTCTGAGAGAACTCGTAGGTTTACAGCAGTATATACTGGAATTCGAGATGCTTATTTTTAGATTATTATAGCGTTTCTAAATTTATCAGGTGAACTCCTCCAGTTCAAATGCCAGTGAGAAAATTCCTAACTTCAACCTCAGTTTATGAATATCCTCAAGTTAACACAAAGGAAACATGTTAATATACTTACCGAATTGCCTTTCGTCTCTCCTGTGGGTCTGGGGAGACATATGCCTTCATTTCTTCTTTAGCACGCTGCAGTTGTACTTCTAGATTCTATAAAGAAATACATAATTTTTACAAATATATATATTATAATTCCTATTTCATTTCACAATGAACAGTTTGGTCCCTCTTGTGATCTTACCCTTTTCATGCAATTAATATAACGGTAGTTGCTTTCTTCCTGAACACACTCCTCGAGAAGTCCTTTCACTTCCTGTAGTACAAGAATAAGATTTCAAAGGACATTGTAACTGGAAGTCCACAAGAGATACCCTGTGTTGCTATATAAACCATGAGAGTCCGTAATAGAAAAGGCATAATACTGAATTGATAATTTCTTAAATGTTTATAAAAGAGAATTCTGTAAAGCCCAAATTATAAAGTGAAAGACAATTCATTTTTTTAGATTTGCAGTTTCAGTCACAGAGATGCTAAATGATTTTTAATAGGTGTTCATTAATATGACTGACTTCTAACAGACACTTCACAAGTGCTGCCAAGACTTCTGTTCCTAAGCACATCTGAAGTGCTATATACAGTTATGAATAAGAATTTCCTAGAACACATCTGCAAAATGTATGTTAGAAGCTACAGACATGTTAATAGTATGTTAATTAGCAATCAATAATTATGTTGAGGAGTATGGAGACAGTGGGTTAGTCCCATCTCTAACTGGTCCAAAAAACCTAATAATCCAAATGGAATTAATGTACAGCAGTTGTCAACTCCAAAGCTCTGTCACCAGGTGATTTTCAGACCATCAGCTGGAAAACTGAATTCTACTGTTCAATTGCAAGAGTTTGCTGACAGTCATGTCCAGCTTAATCAGTGGATGTGATTGTCATCATGTGTTAGAAAATGACTAAAATTTGCCTGCTAAGAAGAAAAGCCTTGATTGCTATCATAAAATAGTTCTTATGGAAGGTCTACTTCAGAGTAGGTGCATCTGTGGACTCTTCTATTTTGCTTGGATTAAGCCATACAAAGGTACTTTTAGTCCAGGAAAAGAATTATCCATATATCCACCCACACTTTAAATGTACAGCTTTTTTATTTTGAAATACATCGTTTATGTGGGCAAGCCCTTGAAAAATCAAGTCCAGACAAAATTCACAGGAGGTGACCTAGTGAGATAAAGCAGATTCATATAAACATATTAATATTGGTGTGTCTGTCCCCACGTTAAAGGATTGTGGTGGTTTAGGTACCTCGCTTCCTAAAAGTGCTATAGTTCAAGCAATGCATAAACTACATACACACAAGCTCTTAGATATACCTATATGGTTGTATTTTTAAAAAAACTGTTGTATGCAAGAATGCAAGACACTCACATTTAATGAAGTATCTTGGCCATCAATTTCAGAACATTAATTATCCATTGGATTGGTTGCTGATTTAATGAATCCGCTAAATCCATAAAAAGATTTGTCTTGATAAATTAATCCTTGTTTTATGGTCAAATTCTTTCCTAACAGGTACTATCTAGATACCTAGATAGGATTTCTGGCAGATGCATCTTCTTTTACAATATCCTTGCTAATCAAGCTGGATGTCGGTGGATGGACTGATGTACCACGAGTTCATTTGTTGCTATTCAGAACAGGAGATGTGTGTGACTGGAGCTAGTCCACAGCAGCTTCAGACATGATTTGCATAGTTGTGGATCACCACTGACTAGCTTCCACTGAAGTGGATTTGTACTTTCCACATCCAGAGGGAAGGCAGGGAAAATATTGTACCATAGTGAATAACATGTTGCACAGCATTTGTTAATATGCATGAACAAGCCACCATCTTACCTGTTCCAGTGTCGAGCGATTGCTCTCTAATCCCGCTGCACAACTGTCGTATTGGATTTTTTTTTCATCACATTCTTGAGTTAATTCCTTATGTGAAAAGGGCAAAAGGGTACGTAAATTAAATCTTCAATTGACTGACATGTGACATTCAGGCAGACTGTGTTCTTGTCGGTCTCACACACCAACCTCAGCTATTGGCACACTCACAGACACTTACATAAACCTAGCAGGCACATGGGTATTATTACACACGGGGAAGCCACTAGCCTCCACTTGCATACTGGGGGATCAGCTGTATACACCACAACATAGCATGCAAATTTCCTCGTTACAGCCACATCCATAGCTTTAATGCGGTAGGTTAATAGGGCAGTGTTTGCAAGAAGAAAGGAAAAATAATTATAAAAATAGAGATTAAGGAAGGATTAATATACTTGCTACCTATGAAAAGCCAGCTTTCTAATTGTACACAAAAATGCCTTAGCTGGATTTAATTTGCTGACACTTTTAATAGAACCATTAAAAGTAAGTTTTTCTGGAAATGCGGTTGATAGATAAATGGATAGCTCTATTTACTTCTATGGCAATGAGCCAACTTATAGCAGCTTGGACCTGAATGACTTCTTTTTTTCAGCTCTCTATAAAATTCTGAAAACAAGTGTATAAATCTGTGGTTCCTACAGACTAATGTAGGACTTAGATCAATGTATTCAACTATTTGGATGAGACATTATTTGCAATCCATTTAAAAAGGAGAGCGTTAGTTGCGATAATTAGTGCTGAGATGCAGAAAAAGCTTTGAAACCAATTTGAAAACTAACTTTCCTATGGTTTTGAACCATGTTTTTAAAATTTTCCCCTGGTGTAATAATTTTTTTTAATTGCTATAAAGGACAAAATTTTCAGCTTGATTTTGTGCCTGCACTGTCAGCTTTTATGAATTCCAGTTTTTAACATGTTGCCTGTTGCAAATCACTGTTGACCCGTTCTGCTATTTCCAGCTTTCCTTCAGAGTTGATTATGTCCTTGTACAGCACTACAGAGATCTGTAAATTAGACTTATTTGTGATTCTGACTTTATTTACACAGAAAGAGAGAGTGTTTCTACTAACTTGGCACTTTTGACGCAACTGTCTCAGTTCTTTGATAACAGGAGCTAGACTTGCCTTCTTCTCCGCCACCATAGTGTTCAGTTTTTTTACCTGATGGAGGAACAAAATAATATACCTTAACAATGTGATACTAATAGTACATTTAATTAATTAGGGATGTGAAAATGAAGAGAAGAAAACCAAAATATGGAGAGGAAAAAAAAATGTGCGATGAAGACTGAACTATATATAATATAACATAAGTTCAGGCCTAATTAACAAAGAAAGCCCATCTTGCAGTGGGGTCGTTACCACAAATGAGACAAATTCTGCTCCCATTGTTTCAATGGAGAACATCACAGAGAAGTCCAGAAGACAGCCTCCGTGCCAGACACCTAAAGAGCTTAAGGAGTAGGGGAAAATGAAGCGGTTGCATAGAGGTGGACTGAGAGAAAGGAAGAAATCATTCTGAAAACAAACAAACAAACAAACAAACCTGCCTGCATAGGTTCAAGTTTGAAAACGCTGAAACAAGAGTCACTTTAAAATATTTATACTGAAAATCCAAATTCGATCCAGCTTTCTATTCAAGAGTCATTCTGTTTTAATTATACCACTTTATTTTAAAAGTGCCATAATGATTTCAAAGAATGCTATTTTGCTTTTTGCTCTTTTATAATATTTTCAAATTAGAAATTCAAGTTCTGTCATGCTTCTATGACTATGTGGGAAGTTAAATTAAAACATGTCAGATCCAGGGGCTATTGAAAATTAGGCTATAGAGAACAAGACAAGATATTTAGCTCTTTAGGCATATTAAGTATTTTTTTAACAAATGCTTAACTCCAGTGATTTACAAATATTTTAGAAAAATATTCTGTTAAAGATTCAAACCATTCCTCTCTTTCAAATAATGCACAAATATGAAACCACTTCTGAAGTCACAAAGAAGTCAAACGTCAAAGATGACAAGACTTGATATACTTAATGTTTCTGAAGGGGAGGAAATTAGGATTTTTTTTTTAATAATTCTAAATTTCTTCTTCATACATTAAAAGAAATACACATTTTAGTAAACTTTTTCAAGATTACCTTTGTAAATGTATACTGATTGAAAATACATTTTTTTTTTAT